TTATAGCAGATCTTTGGAGGAACATTTGGAACATTTATGTGATGTTTTTATCGCTCTACGTGATGCACGTTTGTTTGGTAACCCTGGGAAGTGCATCTTTTGCACCGACCGAGTATCTTTTCTTGGCTATGTTGTTACTCCACAGGGAATTGAAGTAGATAAAGCCAAGATTGAAGCTATTGACAGTTGGCCGCAACCCAAAACGATCACACAAGTGAGGAGTTTTCTTGGCCTTGCTGGATTCTATAGGCCTTTTGTGAGAGATTTTAGCACCATTGATGCACCTCTCAATGAGCTTACAAAGAAGGATGTGCCTTTTGTTTGGGGTACCGCACAGGAAGAAGCCTTCACGGTATTAAAAGATAAGTTGACACATGCTCCTTTACTCCAACTTCCTGATTTTAATAAGGCTTTTGAGCTTGAATGTGATGCTAGTGGAATTGGATTAGGAGGTGTGTTATTACAAGAAGATGGCAGACCTATTGCATATTTTTCTGAAAAATTGAGTGGGCCTAGTCTGAATTATTCTACTTATGATAAAGAATTATACGCTCTTGTTCGGACTTTAGAAACATGGCAACATTATTTATGGCCCAAAGAATTTGTTATACATTCTGATCATGAATCTTTGAAACATATTAAAAGTCAAGCTAAACTAAATCATAGACATGCTAAATGGGTTGAATTCATTGAGATTTTCCCTTATGTCACTAAACATAAGAAGGGTAAAGAAAATGTGATTGCTGATGTATTGTCTCGTCATTATACTATGCTTTCACAACTTGACTTCAAAATATTTGGTTTGGATACCATCAAAGATCAATATGTGCATGATGCTGATTTTAAAGATGTAATGCAGAATTGTAAAGAAGGAAGAACGTGGAACAAGTTCGTGTTAATGATGGATTTGTGTTCCGTGCTAACAAGCTATGCATTCCAGCTAGCTATGTTCGTCTTTTGTTGTTGCAGGAGGCGCATGGAGGAGGATTAATGGGACACTTTGGCGTGAAGAAAACGGAGGACGTACTTGCTACATATTTCTTTTGGCCAAAGATGAGACAGGATGTTGAGCGTTTTATTGCTTGCTGCACTACATGTTAAAAAGCTAAGTCATGACTCAATCCTCATGGTTTGTATATTCCTCTTCCTGTACCTAGTATTCCCTGGGAGGATATATCTATGGACTTTGTTTTAGGTTTACCTCGAACAACGAAGGGGAGGGATAGCATATTTGTTGTCGTGGATAGATTCTCTAAAATGGCACACTTTATACCATGTCATAAAAGTAATGATGTTGTTAATGTTGCTGATTTGTTCTTTCGCAAAATTATTCACTTGCATGGTGTGCCAAATATTATTGTTTCAGATCGTGATACTAAATTTCTTAGCCACTTTCGGAGATGTTTATGGGCTAAGTTGCGGACTAAATTGCTTTTTAGTACTACTTGTCACCCCCAAACTAATTGACAAACTGAAGTAGTCAATAGAACATTATCTACTATGCTTAGGGCTGTTTTGAAGAATAATAATAAGATGTGGGAAGAATACTTGCCTCATATTGAATTTGCTTATAATCGTTCATTGCGTTCTACTACTAAGATGTGCCCTTTTAAAATTGTGTATGGCTTCCTATCTCGTGCACCTATTGATCTGTTGCCTATTCCATCTTCGAAGAAGGTTAATTTTGATGCTAAACAACGTGCTGAATTGATTTTGAAAATGCATGAGTTAACTAAGGAAAACATTGAGCGTACGAATGCTAAATATAAACTTGCCGGAGATAAGGGTAGAAAACATGTTGTGTTTGCACCTGGAGATCTTGTTTGGTTACATTTGCGTAAGGATAGATTTCCTAATTTGCGTAAATCAAAGCTAATGCCACGTGCTGATCGTTCTTTTAAGGTGTTAGAGAAAATAAATGATAATGCATATAAACTTGAGTAGCCTACAGATTTTGGGGTTAGTCTCACTTTTAACATTGCATATTTGAAGCCTTATTTGGGTGAGGAGGATGAGCTTCCGTCGAGGAAGACTTCATTTTAAGAATGGGAGGATGACGAGGACATCAATACCACTGTTACACCCATAGCCCCTGCTGCTATACATACTGGATCAATGGCTAGAGCTCGCGCACACCAATTGAATTACCAGGTACTTTCATTTCTTGGTAATGATTCTAATGTTCACGAGAATATGATGCCACCTAAATTGGATACATTTGTTTTGCTTACAAATGAAGGGCTTAGCTTGAACAAGAAAGATGAACCTTGAAGCAAGTTCAAGCATTGAGATGATGGCATGCGCAAGGGAACAAGAACGACGTTACAAATGATGATTCCAGGACTTTGAAGCCACCATAATAAGTGAATGAAGCCTTGGACGAAATATACAATATGCCACTTTATAAATGTCGTCCAGAAGCTATTCTAGGTGCGGCATCACCTTATTATTGGGCCAGGGCCATGTAATTTTGAAATACTTGATTATAGGTTGTTTTTATAAATGTGGAGAAACAAGAGTTAGGGTTGGTTTCGGACCCC